TTGGCGCCACGTAGCGAAAAGAAGAAACGACTGGCGCGCTGTTGTTAACTCGGCTATAATCGCGTAAGCGGTGACTACGCCAATCAAGAAGAAGAAGAGTCAACTGAAAACAAAATCGAAGAAGACATTTTTGAAGTGGATGCATCGTTGTGGGATGTTATTGAAAACTATTGCTTAGTTTACAGTCCATTGCAGAAAACAGTAAAAAAATTTCGAGGAGAGCAACTGCATTATGAAAATTTTTACGCCCAATGGCTAAAATTAAAAATTTGCACAGAAAAAATTGTAAATGATGCAACTCACGATATGACAAGAACGATTGGCGAAAATATTCTGAGCTCTATAGAAAGGCGTTCGAAAATATTATTAAATAATAAATTTCTCATTTCGTGCTTTTTTTTATCCTCGTTTCCAACATACACTAACACCACAGCGAAAAAATTATGCAGCGAAGCATTTAAAATCGATATGCGGCAGAATAAATGACATAAATTCTACTGGACAGTTATGCTAAACACCGAATTCGGGCTCACATCAATCTGTGAACCATTTTTTAATTAAGAAGATGAATTGTTAAACGCTTACTTAGAGCAAGGGATCCAAACGGAAGTCAGTAGTACATTCGACGTCTACTCAAAGATTGACAATCTTCAACTTCCTTTCCAAAGAATCGATGCAGGCGTTCTCACAGTTTGGAAAGGAAAGCAGTGCACTGACCAGGAGCTATATGCACTTAGTAATTTTTGCTTTGCTGTACCACCAACTCAGGTACATATATACAAATGTTTTAATAAATTAATGATCACAGTTTCATAAATACAAATGTTTTCTAACAGGTGACGATTGAACGAGCATTTTCGACGTTAAGACTTGTACTTACTGATTACCGAAATCGACTAAGTCAGGAAGTACTAGAGAATATACTGCTGGTCAAATTGAATCCAAGCTTTCTGGACTCAGCGATTGATAACTTATCTCTTTTTCAAGATGACGAAGATTTTGAAAGTTTATTTTGCATAATATTGTATTTTATGAAAAAAATGAATTAGAAAAAAAAACAAATTGTCAAAYTGTTTAATTTATTAGAATACATTGGGAGCAACAAACAGCATAAGCAGCAAAGTAAATATCGACAGCTGTCGCGACTACGACTTGCAGAAGTCGAGCAGTTGCTGCTGCTTCGACTTGCGTTGCTTAGCGAAAGCAGCAGCAAAGCAAAATCAAAACTTTTTACACAGCGTCTGCTGCTGCTGATTCGCTTTTCGTCGGCGATCGTTTTCTGCTTTTGCTTTGACTGTGACTTCTGTTTTTTTCAGAAGCAGAAGCAAAATCACATGAAATGAAACTTGCTGCAGTTTTTTAAACACTTAAACATTGTTGCTTTAGAAAATAATCTATGCCAAATTTCGTGAAGATACATTGTCAAATGTGAATGTTTTCCATACAAGAAGTTGATTCCGATTGTTCAGTTTGTATGTCAGCTATATATTATAGTGGTCCGATATCGGCAGTTCCGGAAAACGAGCACCTTCTTGAAGAGAAAATGACGTTTGCAAAATTTCAAAATGCTGTCTTAAAAACTAAAGGACTAGTTCGTACATATATACAGACAGACGGACGGACATACAGACGGACCTGGCTTATTGGACTCAGCTCAACATACTGATCATTTATGTATATGCACTTTACTACACTTTGAGCTTAGCCATAAGGCCGAGAAGCGATAATATTAATATTTCAAATGTTTCTAGCTTATGTTTTCTTGGAATTACCTTGGACAAACGTTTAACTTTGAAGGAGCACTATCTTAAGTTAGAAAGAAGCCTAGCTGTCTATCTTCTAAACACTGCCTTATTCATCCAAACACTTTAATCAATGTTACTAAGGCTATAATATTGTCGAAGATTGACTATGGCTTACCAATATATGGAAATAGCGCAAAGAGTAATATAAAACTGATCTCTTCGACGTATCATGCAGCCGTTCGAAGGAGTATACGCGCCTTTCCAACATCCCCGATTCAATGCATCTTAGCCGAAGCTCGGATGCCTACCTTAGAAGAAAGAATTGAATATACCACTATGAGGATTATCCCAAAGATCTTTCTCCGCAGAAATAGTATTATTTATGACACTATCACAACGATATGGGCCGCTAACAAAAACCCCAAGACGCACGCCAGCATTACACAGAGTGCTGGAATACGCTAAAATTTTAGGAATAGACTCGAAACCATCTTTTCTGCCTGCCGTCAGCTCACCACCTTGGGAGTTAAGCTACTCATCTTTCCTTATCGGTTTAACAAATCACGCCAAGTCAACCACAAGCCCAACAGTATTCCAGCGCCTTTTTGAAGAATACAGAGCTCCTTTTCGAAACGAATGGAAAATGTACTATACCGATGGGTCAAAGTCGAAGGAACACAAGTCATTCGCCGTGGTCCAAGCCGATGGGAAAACAGTAATAGCAGGGCATCTACCAAATTATGGATCAGTGTATACGGCAGAGGCGKTTRCAGTATACAACGCAATACTAGCAGCCTCAGAATCTAACGACAAGACGATAATCTGCACAGACAGTATGTCAACTATTGMTAGTATCATGAATATTACTAACAAGGTACCCCTAATCGCTGCAATACGCACCAAACTTATACAAAAAGCCAAAGAAATCAAAATTATGTGGATTCCTGGTCACGCGGAAATTATTGGCAACGAATTAGTGGATCTGAAAGCAAAATCCGTAGCTATGGAGCCATTATTTACTTTCAATTATATGGTGAGGAAAGATATCTTCCTACTCGTCAATAACTTCCTTAAAGAACAGAAAAGAAATTCTTGGAACAGTGTGCAAAACTATTACTCGAACTTCAATACAATTGGCATGCAGCCACATATTCCGCCCACCTGCCGAGCAAATGACATAATTGCCTTTACTCGACTTCGAATTGGACATACCATGGCCACCCACTCGCACCTGCTAAACGGTTCAAATAGACCACGCTGCGAATTCTGCACTTATTCATCGCTTACAGTTAAACATCTCCTCGATGAATGCACTAAGTTTAGTGCAACTAGAAACTCACTATTTGATGACCAACCCATTTCAAATACGCTCAAGGCTTTTTCTGAAGAAAACATCCACAAGGTAGCCGAATTTTTGTACAAAACTGGCCTCAGAAAGTTAATTTAATTCCCTAATTGTAATTTATCTTAGATCCAAATAGCATCTTTACTAACATCAATTATTTTAATAATTGTACTGACAGTAATATTAATCTCATATTTACCTTTTACTGGCTAATATATTAATATTCTAAGACAATATAGTTTTATTAGAGCAGTAAGCCATAAGCCCTGGCAGCTAGTGCTTTTTACTCCGTAAGATAATAATTGTATTATTATTTTTCATTTAATAAATAAATAAATAAATAAATGTATATAAATTATAGAGTCTCCGACGGTTCCTTCTGGGTGTTACAAACTTCGTGACAAACTTAATATACAGGGTATAATAACAGCGAAAGTCTTCTTAATTTTGATTAATATTCAGTCGAAAATATAAAAAATAGAAAAGTTACATATAATTAAACAGCTAACTATTTGTAAAATAAGGGTGAAGTAATGCAATTCAGTTATTGCTGATTAAAAGTTTTGATTTAAATTGCGGCAACCGAAATATTGCGCATGGGGCGCTACGCTTAAGAAAAAGCCAGTTGATCAAATTCATTTGAGCTTCCTAATATCAAGAAAGTCACAGTTTTACAAATAATTAACCCTGGTCGAAACCAACGGTCTGATACACTTAGTCGAGACCAATGGTGCTTTTCTAGGCCAATATGTGTTTACGTACATGCATTTGTATGGAAATACGTGTTGTATTTACGCTCATATTATATATGTACAATATAGATACATTTTTGAAATTTCTTACCTCCCGATTTGGTTTGGTCATACTTTGAACTACCTGAAAAAGAAAAATGAAACTCGTATGCGGCTTTTAAAATGAAATACAACGCATTCCTTTTCGTTCATTTTTTTGATTTATTTAGGAGCATATGAATCATTTTTGAGCGATTTTCCAATTGTTTTATGATGATGGGTCCTGAGGAATACAAAAAAAGAACATATGTAATAAATTTTCCAATGCTGTTGAGAAATTGGATTTGAACATTTAGAACATAAAAACCGAGTTTACAAAGCAATTTATCGCTTTCTTGCAAGCAAAGTCTGCAATCTCTCCTTCATTTGAGTGTAGCAGCGCCTTTTGATGTTGAAGCTACTACTCGTGATGGGATGGGATTCAAAAGCCAAACGACAAGATAGATTTTTGATGACATTGAGATTGTTCATACGATTTTCGATATTGGGCGTTACCAATGTTCTCGATTGTAAAGATTTTATCTAGATGGTCGATTTCTTTACAAACAACGAAAGCAGCCAATCCCATCACATCCAACAAGTTGCAAAAAAAGGCAAATGTGCATCTTTTCGTTTGCCGTTTTGTAGTGCAATGGGTAACCATCTGATCCATGCAGTCAACGCCGGCCTTTGTTGAATTATAAAATAAAATTGCTTCCGGTTTTTGGCTTCACCTTCACAATCCTTTGTGTAGTGTAGGGTTGAAATCAAATTGACTGCCTTGTTCTTTTTCGAAACGTAGCTGCAAATCGAAACGAGTTTATCGTGAAATCCGAAAAGAGTAGAAAGCAAAGGATGAGACAGATTTTTTTTTCAATTGTTCGGGTAAACACTTCTTATTGGCACGAATAGTACCGGCGAAAGTGTTTTTCAAAATCAATGCAATTAGTAAGCTTTACAACACATTCGAAGAAAAATGTACTAATGCTTTCAACTGCTCATGCCAGCGAAGATGTAAATCCTGTAACAAAAAACCACAATTCATACATGATTATAATGAGCATAAAGATGGTATTGATACATTTGACAAAATGCTACGTGGATTCTCTGGCAAAAGAAAAACAAACCCCTGGCCCATGACATTACTTTATAACATGCTGGATATTGCTGGGCTTGCAGCGTTCAGGCTGTTTGATCTTAGTCACCCTATGTGGAACACCAATAAGTCTGAAAAGCGTAAAATATTTTTTAAAGAACTCTCTATGGACCTAGCGCAGATGCAATTACAAAACCGATGCAAAAGAAAAATTAATTCTACAACTAAAATTGCAATGGACTACAATCAATTTCAAACGGTTTTCTGCAGTGGCCAGTTCGCGTCCAGCAATACAGGTAAGGTTTCATAATTCAATTTATTTCAAAATTAATTCATTTTAAATGCAAAACCGATAAGATCGATAATAAAACAACAGCAGTTTGTGACCATCACCTTATTCCGACATGCACCAAACCCTACATAAGGACGTGTGAAAAGTGCTATTTTGCAAAATACAATACCGAAGTTGACACGGACTCAGGCAATGAGGAAGATGTGGACAATACTCCAACAACATCTGCACCCAATCAAAATATATCAAAAAGACAGAGAAGAATTTCACCCATTTGAGCAGTTCAAAAATAAAACTTTATTCGATTTTCATATTTTTCAATAAAAATACATTTGTTTCTAGCAATAAACGTTCCATTAAATTATTTGCAGAAACAAGCGAAATATTGGCTTTTCTATAAAAAAAAAAGTCTTAAAAGTCAAAATTTCCATACAAAATACATTAATGAGCACTGAGTGCCTAAGTCAAGAAATTAAGTTGTACAGCGATGTCACGATTCTAAGGTTAAAACCTCTATCTCCCTTTTGCCGTTCCCACTTTGTTAACCSTCAATGTTAAGGAATTTTAATTAATTGTATTAAATTAAAAAAGGTGATCAACGAAAAAAGGACTTTTTTTTAAATTATTCAACTAAATCAAAAACTGGTTTTAATGAAATGTATTTACTTTTGCATGTTAACGTCCTTATTGCTTGACTCAGCAGATTCTTCTGAGAGCTTTCCTATTGAAACTGGTGCATATTGAATAACGAGAGCGTGAATTAAAATTTTATGGACTGACGCAGGAAAATAATACCAGGAATATTTTGAAGTAAGTTCCCTTGCAGGATCTAGTGCAAATTTAGTGAATTTAGGGTTGATTGAAATTATTCCTTTTGAAATTGTATTCGATCAGGATGGCAATAGTGGGTGAACGAAGGTCTGGAGTTTTTCGAAATTTGTGTGCGCTCTTCATCATTTTATGATTTTATTATCAGTTGTATAGGGACATACATATGTCGTGACAAACAAGTTATTGTCTTCCAAATTATTATTTTCAAATTTCTGCTTCTATTCGCTCTGTCCAGAACTGCCTTCAAAGCCACATTTTAAAAATAGGTAATTAGAGTACTCATTGGAGGATGGAGTCATGTATAGAAGTTCAAGCAAGTGAGGAAAGTTTTCTGATCGCCATCAATTTGGAAGTGGCCAGAAACGATTCTTTAACATATGACTCAAGCGGCTCACGACTTCCGGTCCTTGACCAAGTATCCTCTGGGTAGCTAAGAACATCCGTTTGAAGCTAAAGTGAGAAGGCGAAACATTCCCTGCATAGGGTTGTGCGCTGGGTTTGGGACCCGCCACGTAAAAAAAACCACCCCAATGACAACGCAACAACAGCCTCGGATGAAAATAGTTCGAGCTGCAGAACTAAATAGAGAAGGTACCATCTTCTATAAGAGTGTACAGCTGCTGGCGTATGCCGATGCTATTGATATCATTGGCCTCAACACCCGCGCCGTTAGTTCTGCTTTCTCCAGATTGGACAAGGAAGCAACACAAATGGGTYTGGCAGTGAACGAGGCCAAGACGAAATACCTCCTGTCATCAAACAAACAGTCGTCGCACTCGCGACTTGGCACTCACGTCACTGTTGACAGTCATAGCTTTGAAGTTGTAGATATTTTCGTCTATCTTGGAACCAGCGTAAACACCACCAACAATGTCAGCCTAGAAATCCAACGCAGGACAACTCTTGCCAACAGGTGCTACTTCGGACTGAGTAGGCAATTGAGAAGCAAAGTCCTCTCTCCGTCCTGCTATATGGTGCAGAGACTTGGACGATGTCAACAACGGATGAGTCGACGTTGCTAGTTTTCAAGAGAAAAGTTCTGCGAAAGATTTATGGTCCTTGTCGTGTTGGCCAC